ATGATGAGGGGTAGGACAGGAATTATTATTATTATTATTATTATTATTATTATTATTATTATTACCTACACTGGAGATGAAGAAGGCTTTGAGTTGCTTTAGTGATGGCTCAAGTTGTTGTGATCTCCGAATAATAAAATAATTAATGACACAAACGTTGATAATTACTAGTGATAGAGACAGTAATTATTTTGGGGATTTGTCAACATTAACATTATTAATTTTTATTTTATTATTATTATTATTGTTGTTGTTGTTGTTGTTATACTTTTATGTTTATTCCTCTCTCTCCCTCTCTCCTAGTTATACTCCATTGATGGAAGCAGCTAGAGAAGGTCATGATGATGTAGTTCAGTTGCTTGTTGAACAAGGTAGCCATCTACATGTACCTGTACCTGTACCTGTACCTGTACCTGTACCTGTAGCTCTAATGTACAGTACAGTCTCTCTTAATGGACACTCTCTATAGCGTACACCTCCATTTAATGGACAGCACCTAGTGTACCAATTACATTCCTTACTGTATAAAATAGCCTCCACATAAAGGACACCTCTGTATAACAGAGACACAGTGTCCATTATAGCAGGGCTAGTTTGTACATGACTAGATGGAATTTTATTTAATACTTTAATGATATTCTGCAGGTGCTAATGTTAATACCCAGACTGAGGAGACCCAGGAGACAGCTCTTACCCTGTCTTGTTGTGGAGGGTTCTTAGACATCACTCAGTATCTTGTAGATCATGGTGCTAATATTGAGCTAGGAGCCTCCACCCCTTTAATGGAGGCGTGTCAAGAAGGACACATTGATATTGTGAAGTACCTTATTAGGAAGAACGCTAACATTCAAGCTGTGACCAACACTGGGGACAGTCCATTAACTTATGCAGCTGCTAACGGACACACAGGGATAGTCGATCTACTCATTTCCTGTGGAGCTAACGTGGTGAGAACAAGGGGTTTCAAACTGGACCATTTCTCATTCAAAATATTAAAATCAGGCTAAAGTCCCTGTACTATAGTACAGGGACTTTGGCCAAATTTTGTCAAAATTGACTAAGAGAGAATTCTCCATTTTTATTACATTTCCTGATGCATATACATGTACTTATGTTGTGTAGAAAGTTTGAGCTGATTCCGATTAAAATTAGATTTTTTATGAATTTTTAATGTTGCTCCAAAATCGGGTAAAAGTCCCTGTACTATAGTACACGGTCTTGGGCCAGATTTTGCAAAAATTAAAAGGAGAGAATTCTCCATTTTTATTACATTTCCTGATGTAACCCTCCCTCACTCCCTCCCTCTCTATGTCTATAGGAGCATGAGTCTGAAGGTGGGAGGACTCCACTGATGAAAGCAGTTAGAGCTGGACACTTGGAAACAGCTCAGTACCTTATTT